CAGAGGGATAGAATCAAGATCACGTGAAGTATTAATACCACTCTTCAATGCCTTGGTAAGGCCACACTTGGAATACTGCATCCAGTTTTGGTCACCACAATGTAAAAAAGATGTTGAGACTCTAGAAAGAGTACAAAGAAGAGCAACAGAGATGATCAGGGGGCTGGAGGCTAAAACATATAAGGAACGGTTGCTGGAATTGGGTTTGTCTAATTTAATGAAGAGAAGGACTAGGGGTCATGATAGCAGTGTTCCAATATCTCAGGGGTTGCCACAAAGAAGAGGGAGTCAAGCTTTTTTCCAAAGCATCTGAAGGCAGGAAAAGAAGCAACGGATGGAAACTGATCAAGGAGAGAAGCAACCAAGAACTAAGCAAAAATTTCCTGACAGTTAGAATAATTAATCATGGAACAACACTGCTCCAACACTGGAAGTTTTTAAGAAGAGATTGCACAACCATTTGTTTCCTTCCTGAGCAGGGGGTTGGACTAGAAGACCTCCAAGGTCCCTTCCAACTCTGTTATTCTATTCCATTCTGTTCTAATTCAGCAATCTGGATCCCTTGAGATAATACAAGCTGCCGAGTCTAAAGATTTAGCACTATTTCAGAAGAACAGTAGGACATTTAGACCATTTAGAAATAGCCCAACTGACAAGTATGGAACTTTTCTGTGCTTGCAGGCTGTTGGTCAAAGGTGGGCAACATGTTTTGATGGTTACATGAGCCTACCAGTTCCATCTCACCAGCCATGATGGAGCCTGTCTATGTACAGTACAGTGAAATTAAGATGTTTTTATTGTGTCTTCTGACAGCCAGTTGGGGTTCATGGATGTGCTCTGCAGTTCATGGATGCCGTCTGACTCCACTTCTGCAGTCAGAGCACACAGTGAAAACTCCTTAATCTCATAACACATGAACAGACTCAACCATAATTTCAACTGGGAAACATTCTAGACCAAGTCCAATCCAAAATGCTTGGGAATTCCCGGAAGCTTGGCATTCGGACAAATCAGCCATCAATAGACAAATAGCAACAAACCATATTTATAAACCATTCAAAGCAAAAGAAGGAAATGAAAAGAGCAGAATACAGGTAGTCCTTGACTTACAACCATTTGTTTGGTAGTCCTTGACTTACAACTATTCATTTAATGACCAGTCAAAGTTACAATAACACTGAAAAAAGAGTGACTTATAGCCAGTCCTTGCACTTTTGATCATTGCAACATCCCCACAGTCAACATCACAATTTTGGCGCTTGGTAACCAGCATGTATTCATGACAGTTGCACCCTCATGTAATCACCATCTGTAACCATCCCAACCAGCTTCCCACAAGCAAAATAATGGGGGAAGCCAGACTTGCTTAACAACCGCATGATTCACTTAATAACTGCAGTGATGCGTTTAACAACCGTGGCAAAAAAAGATTGTAAAATGGGACAACTCACTTAACTGCCTTGATAAGCAATGGAAATTATGGGCTGTATTTTGGTTGTTAAGTCCAGGACTACCTGTATGTATATCCCTTCCGACAGTCAACATCCATATAAGCAACCAGACAAACAATCAAGCAGAAAACAATACCCCAATCAAGGAACTATCCAGGAGAAAACGACAACCCCACAGGTTGTCAGGGCAAGCTATTATATATAAGCAAGGAGCCCACTCCACACTGATCACACTGTGTTATCTAGTTGGACTATGCAGTGCCTGCAAGCAAACAACCATGCTCAGAGAGCACCAAAGACTCCACAGTTCAAACCAGAACCACAAATATTCCCTTCTATTATAATAAATAATTATCAGGCTTGGTTTCTGCTGAAAATTTAAGGACTTGGTATTAACCTTCTAGGTCCTCAAGACCTTAGGGCCATTTTTTTCCTTCAACCTCAGTAACTTTTAAGAAGTGCAGAAGTCGACTCCCAGAATTCCCCAGCCAGGTAGAAGTTGAAGTTCACATATCATAAAGCATGCTAGTTGATGAATTTGGGGAGCTGACATCTACACATGTTAAAGTTGCTAAGGTTGAGGATGTCTTGCCGGCTCAGGATGTTTTCAGTGTCTAGTGCAGACATGTCAAACTTGCGATGTCAGGTGACGTTGTGCAACATATCGGGACAGTTTTGCCATTGTCGGCAATGGGGTGGGTGTGGCTTCTGTGTGATGCGTACGGCCTGTGGGCCAGCAGTTTGACACCCCTAGTCTAGTGTATCAGACAATGCATCAGGTAGCATGCATAGTTGAAAAAAAAACCCCAATAAATCAATGAGAAGGACCACATCTATCATTCTGAGCCTGTTGGGATCTGCCAGAGACGTTCTTCTGAAAGCGCTTATCTTCTCAAAATCTGTTTACAGTATGAAGATTACTGGACAGCACCACCTTCATCTGTGTTTTGTTCCAACTATGAAACACATGTGCGTGGAAATTGGATTTGGGCCCATTCAGGTTGACTTTGGAAGGCCTGTCTTTTGAACCAGCTCTTTAACTGTTCATGTGATTCAGTTATTTTTTGTTTGGCTTAATATACAAGCCTCCTTACTATATAGCAAGGCAGATTATGGATCAAAGAGGCAAAGAAGCATGCAGCTAGCAAAAGCAGAGTGTGCGAGAGACTGTGATGGAATATGCACCTGATGGAGCAGTGGGGGAGTTTTGGCAACACAGATCTTTCCCAGAGAGAGGCCCTGATTAAGAGACTGTGCAGTCCCAAGCTGGATGGGGAGGGAGAGAAGACGTTCAGGATAGCCACACCCTGCCTAGAATCTCTCAGGATATACTTTATCTAGTAGGTTAGAAGGTTATAGCTTTAGTTTGGCAAGATTCTATCCATTGGGTATAAGCAAATAAAGGATTGGATTTGATTGGAGTTTGCTGTATCATTTTTGGGTTAAAGAATTGAAGGTTGGGAGAAATGCAATTAAGCAGTAAGAACCACAGTAGGCAATTTGAATTGATGGACATATCTGGAAATTTAAGAGGTTTGTAGGAGATGACCAGGTTTAGCCTGAGGGTAGGGTCAAACACATCATCAGTCTGGAGTATCTACATCTCCAAAAGAAATCTAAGTCCAGCCCTTTCCCCCTTGAAGTCTATTAACTCTTATCTGACACCAATTCACATTGACTGTTAGTAGATCAGATTCTTGTATATAGGCTGCATGGAATAAATTTGCCATGCTTTTGAACTCTATCCTGGCTCCTTGTTTCTTGTACCTGTCAGGGTTATTTGCCTGCATTCTTATGTAATAAAAGAATTGCCCTTCTTTATGCTTTTTCTCTAATAGGTCTTTGTCCATGGAATTCTTTTCTGCTTGATCTGCTTTTTCTTTTTAAACAGGACCTTAGGAAAGTTTTGTTCCTATAGATCTTATGTCAAACATTTTGGGCTCGCTCTCTCTGTTGCATTTAGCTTCGGGGCACTCTCACTTTGAACTTCAGGTTTAATTGTATTGAAATGCATAGTGACAGTTTTCTATATGTTGTCCAGTGAATAGCTTCTCCATGGTTAATATGGCATTGTTGCAGCCAGTCAAAGTAGATTATAGAAGTGCCATTGTGAGGCTTTCAAGTTAACTGGTCTACAATAGGTTCCAGCACTAAGCAGAATCTGGTTTGTACTTCACTGGGAGGCCATTAAGATTGTAGCTAAACTGGAAAGTATTTAGGAAGAAAACAATAGCAAAGTTTCTGTACTGTGCCAAATAATCCCACATGGCTGTTGTAACCAGTGACTGAGCTTGACAGGAAGGAGACTTTAACTTAAAACACTACAAGTCAGAAATCACTGGAAAACTTTGCGTTGTAGTCCTGACTCCATTCAAGGCATTCCTCTCCAAGGGGAATGGAATATGAACATTGCTTAATACTATATAAGGGACTTTATAGTACAAGATACCGCGCAGATGCCTAGAATGGGTTAATTCAATAACTAGGTCAAAAGCATGGTGCAGATGCAGCGTGTATTTTGGTGATTGTTGTGGATTTACTGGCTGAAGGAGAGGAACCCCTGCCAGTGGCAGTAAAGAAACATTCCAGCAAACGTCTAGGATCAAACCTTTAGGTCTACATCTACCTGCCTTTTCCCAAGGGAAGACAGACAGTCTGGTGAGATTCTTGTAATATAGGTGATCAACAACAAAATATCCATTTGGGCCTATCCATAAGTGGTTCTGGTGGCTTGCGCCTGACAGTGACCTCTTTTTAATATGAGTAATCATGTTCTACTCTAGGTTTACTATTAGTATGAATACTAGCAAAAAGTGACAACAATAAGAAAAGTATGGTGTTGGTGAGAAAGAGAGAGGTACCAAAGGAAAAGAATATTTGTAGCTCAATTTGTAGGGTTTTGGTGCTCTCTGAGTGTGGTTATTTTCTTGCAGATATTTCATTGTCCAATCAGGTAAAATCATTACTGCACTGCAGAAACATCTGGAAGGAAACAACCAAGCTCAGAGACCACCAAGGACCTTAAAGAAAGAGGGGAGGAGGGAGGGAGGGAGGTAGAGGGAGGGAGGGAGGGAGGGAGGGAGGGAGGGAGGGAGAGAGAGAGAGAGAGAGAGAGAGAGAGAGAGAGAGAGAGAGAGAGAGAGAGAGAGAGAGAGAGAGAAAGGCTGGTCAAGATCCTATTATCACCTTTGTAGGAATTTGAATCAACACTTAATGTTCAATTAGAGGTTGCATGGTTTGACTTTCAGCTAATCAGTCAATCTATAAATACAAGTCAGTGTATAAATATACATAGGATCTGCAAGAAAATGTCACAGTATGGAGAGGTCTTATTTTGGGTTGCAAACATCCCATCATAGTCTCCTTCAGACTGAAAAATGTTTTCCTAATACTGCCTTCTTCTGCATGGATGGTGCCTTTTTATTTACAGTATGCAAGGATATCATTCAGAGGTGACTGTGCTTGGTTCAGCTGCTTGGGTGTAATAAACCAACAATGTCCAAACATTTCCAGTCCTGATCTTGACCTGCCTCTTTTTTCATCTAATAGAGAGCGATCCGAGTCCGCAGCCACTCCATGGAAACCATGGTAGGAAGCCAGAAGAAGCACCAGCCTGGAGGAATCCCTGGGAGTTTGAGTGGAGGGATTGTGCACAACAGTGTTGAAATAACCAAGACCACCTTCTCTGTAAGTGCCATGCGATTTGTAACAGTGTAAAAGAAGGGAAGGAGCACAGTGGCTCAATGGTTAAAGATGCTGAGTTTGTCAGCTGGAAAGTTGACAGCCCAGGTTCAAGACCCGAGTGCCGGGCAATGGGGTGAATTCCTGACTCCTGCCCCAGCTCCTGGCAACCCAGTAGTTCAAAAGCATGCAAATGCACGTAGATAAATAGGTACCACTTTGGTACCTCCCTTGGTGGCCTAGTGGTTTAAGATGCTGGGCCTGTTGACTGGAAGGCTGGCAGTTCGCTCGAGACTCCAGCGCCACATGATGGGGTGACCTCCCGTCCTTGTTCCAGCTCCTGCCCACTTAGCAGTTTGAAAGCATGCAAGTAGATAAATAAGTACCACTTCATTGTGAAGATAACAGCATATTGTAGGCCTTATCATATATTCATGCTAGCCACATGATCACAGAAGGGTCTTCAGACAATGCTAGCTCCCTGAGCCAGGAAATGAGCGCCTCCCCGCCCCCAGAGCAGGGGTAGGCAACCTTGGCTCTTTTATGACTCATGGACTTCAACTCCCAGAATTTCTGAGCCAGCATAGCATAGCTACCTCAGGAATTCTGAGAGTTGAAGTCCACGAGTCATAAAAGAGCCAAGGTTGTCTACCTCTGCCCTAGAGTCAAAGGGGAAACCTTTATCGTTACCTTTAAAAAAAGGAATCTGCTCCTTGTATCCCTTCTTCATTAGATTCATGAGGGGGAGGGTCAATTCTGTGAATTTGGGGCAAAAGAAATGGCTGTGCCTAGTACTGATTGGCTTTGATCTGTGACATTCCAAACTGCACTTCTTCCTTTGTTTTAAATCTTCATTCTTTTTTTCAAAAGCAAATATCTTGATTGCTCACCGCCATGAATTCTCCACGTGCGTTCTCTTTCTGTATGCATAAACACAGTAGGATCCCAGCTTCAAGATGCTTTCAGACTGAATGGTGACATTTAATTATAGGAAGAAAGGGTATCAAAGAGGCCAAATTAAATGGAAGGATGTACATAAATAGAGTTTAAGGAAATACAAAGTACAGGTAATCCTTGATTTACGACCACAGTTGAGCCCCAAATCTCCATTGCTGAACATTGTTAAGTGAGTTTTACCCCATTTTATGACCTTTCTTGCCACAGTTGTTAAGTGAATCACCACAGTGGTTAAGTTAGTAACGTGGTTGTTAAGTGAATATGGCTTCCTTATTGCTTGTCAAAAGGTCACAAAAGGTGATTACAAAACTCCAGGGCTACTGCAATCTTCATAAATACATGCTAGTTGCCAAGGGTACAAATTTTGATCCTGTGACCATGGGGATGCTTCAGTGGTCATAAGTGTGAAAAATGGTCATTAGTCACTTTGTTCAGTGCTGTTGTAACTTCGAACAGTCACTAAACGAATGGTTAGAATTCGAGGACTACATATAGTGTAGTGCAGCGGTAGGTAACCTTGGCTCTTTTATGACTTGTGGACTTCAACTCCCAGAATTCCTGAGCCACCATGGCTCAGCTTGGAAACCTCTCCCTTTCTCCTCAGCATGGCTGGCTCAGGAATTCTGGGAATTGAAGTCCACAAGTCATAAAAGAGCCAAGGTTGCCTACCCCTGGTGTAGTGGTTGAGATGTTGAACTTGGATAAGCTATCTAGGTCAGGGGTCCTCAAACCCTGGTCCGTGGACCGGTACCAGGCTGCATGCCAGCAGCCGGTCTGCACAAACAGGCAAAGCCCCACCCAGTCCGTGGAAAACCCTTTCTCCACGGAACCGGTCCCTGGTGCCCAAAGGTTTGGGGACTTCTGATTTAGGTTCAAGCTATCATTTAGTTATCGCAGCTTTGAATTGGTGACTCTCATTCTCTCTCAGCTCAGCTTTCCTCACAAGGCTCTTGCACTGCGGAATAGAATTCAGAGTATGTTTGCACAGAACTTAGGATCAATTGTTTCTTTCTTCAGCCTCCATTAGCAGCAGCAACAGCCAAGAATCAATCAAGGAGTCCTATAAAGAGACGATCGGGCTTATTTCCCCGTTTGCACACTGGATCCGAAAGCCAAGCAGAACCCCGGAGCCGATGGTAATTCAATAAATATGTGTTTGTGCATGGGGTGTCTTGTATTAAGGCAGAGTTCCCCAACCTTTCTGGGCTGGAGGGGGGGAAAGAGGGGACGATTTTATGGGAGGGGCAAGTGCATGTGCGTGCATGAGCTCCCACGACAACCATGGCAATGTGAGCACGAGTGGGACTGCAAATGCCCATGACAATGCTCGTGCTAGTGGGGCCACAAACACCCCTAATGACACTCACGCGATTGGAGTCACGAACTCCCCTGATGCTCACCTCACTGTTTGCGCCAGTGGGGCTGTGCACGTGCATGCAGACACACATGCACCATGGGGCCACTCATGTGGCCCCATGGTGATTAGGCTACGGCCCAGTAGTGGGCTGTGGCTGACAGGTTGGGGACCCCTGTATTAGGGGGTTTGGAACTCTTTAGCTTAGAGAAATGGCAGCTTTGGGGGAGAACATGATTATGTTGTAAAGCAGTGGTTTTCAACCTGAGGTCGGGACCTCATTTGGGGTAGAACGACCATTTCATGGGGGTCGCCAAACAACGCAGTCTGCCATTTCTCCCCCCCCCCTTTTCCTTAGCTGTGCTACTCCCTTTTATTCTATTGGCTTTTGAAAGCCAATCAAATAGACTCTCTTGAATAGTCTAATTCTATTGGCTTTCAAAAGCCAATAGGAATTGTCCAGGCTGTCTCTGCCCTGCTGAGCCCGCCAAAAGTCCCATTCTGCAAACGGTACTGCACCAGTTGAGTAGTCCTCGACTTACGATCGGTTGAGTAGTCCTCGACTTATGACCGGTTGGGGGTCGCGGCATTAAAAAGGTTGAGAACCACTGTTGTAAAGAATCATACATAACATGCTGAAAATGGACAAGGATAAAATTCTCCCTCCTGCCAAAGCCTAAGACAAGGGTCTTCCGATGAAGTTGATTAGAAAGAGATTTAAAACAGGCAACTGATAAACGCCTAGAATTCATTGACACAAGATGGGGTGATGGCTACTAACCTGGATTCAATTCAAAGAGGAATGGATAAAGCACAGGATTCTTGAGGATAGGCCTATCAAGGTTCAGGGTTACCTCAGACTTGGGGGCAGATACTGTTTGTGGACATGCCTTGGCCACTGAAGAAGGCAACACATTGGACTAGAATTGTCAAGCACAGGAAATCAGGAGTCAAGGCGGTTCAAATGAATATAGGTTTATTGCAAGCTAACACTTCCTACAAAAATCTGAAGTACTAACGGTCAAAGCAAATTGGCAGTAGATAAGAGTCAACAGAATTTGAGAGGGACTCTTTTGAGTGAGAAATGACTTGAGACTAATGACGTCCTTGACCCCTCTCTCAGATTCAGCCTGGTCATTCCCCCCTGGTCCTTGGTCTAATCCACTGACTAGTCTAACAAACTGATGTATTATAGTGGTTAAGACAAACCTGGCCATTTTGTGGCCCTCAGGCTTTGGCTATCCCTGACCAGCCTGTGTGAGGTCAATTGGAAATTAGAAATCAAATGTAAATAAGCACACCATAGGGGGTGGTAGAAGAAGTTGAGTCCAGCTCTGCGCAATTGCAGTGCTCTCCTTCCATTGACTGGCAGCTGCAGGAGTGCGAGGACAAATCTGTTGATTAATGTTAATTCTCGGTTGAGGACAGTACAGCTCCAAATATTAATTGGAGGGGAACAAAAGTGGGAAAGTAACATGACTCCATCTGCTGCTCGCAGGGCTCTATAGGCATCCATTTGGTCATTTGTAGAAAGCAAATAATGGCCCAAGTTAGATCTTGGTGTCAGAGTGTGCACAGTCTTATTGCGCGAGATAACCCAGGAGTAAACACAGTAAACAGTGGTCTATAATAAATGGTGGTTTATCTTACATTGTGTACAATATCATACACCAGGAAAAATATACATACACGTGCTAATACAGCAGGATCCAACAATCCACAGTTACAGCAGGAAACGGAAGAGAGAGAACATATCATCAGAGCCTTCCCTTTATACAAAGGCTCTTAAAGAGACACAGACCCTGCTGAGTTATTCCCATCATTACATCTTATATCTTACATTACATAAACTGGTTAGCTGTTAAATCAATACCTTGACACTTGGCCTAATACAACAGAGCTTGTCTTATACAGATAGTCCTCAATTTACGACCTCAATTTGAACCAAAAATTTCATGTGTAAGCACGACACTTGTTAAGTGCATTTTGCCCCATTTTACGACCTTTCTTGTCACAGCTGTTAAGTGAATCATTGCAGTTGATAAGTTAGTAACACAGTTGTTAAATAAATCTGACTTCCCTATTGACTTTGCTTCATCAGAAAGTCAGAAAAGGGGATCACCTGAACCTGGGACACTGCGACCGTCATAAATATGAATCAGTTGCCAAGCATCCGGATTGTGATCATATGATCATGGGGATGCTGCAAAGGATGTAGGTGTGAAAAATGGACATGTCACTTTTTTCAGTGCCCTTCTAACTTCAAATAGTCATTAAATGAATGGTTGTAAGTCGAGAACTACCTGTATTTCTTATGTTCTTTGTGGTAGCAGCTGGCATTAAGCCAGATTCTGTTCGCAGAACTTTTGCTTGAGAGAACCGTGGTTTGATATTCCAAAAAATCTAACATGGATGGATTAGATCTAAGATAATGAAGTCATTGCCTTGACTACACTCGCTACCCACATTTACAGTTTTATAAAAGGGTTACAGAACTCTGTTTAAGGTGCATTAATGTTTTATAGATAATTGATGGAAATAAAATGGATAAAATGATAATGCATTGTAAAAAGAAGTACTGGATTACTTAAATTATTAAGTACTATATACTGAAAACTAATTCAGAAAATTACTATAATGGATAGTACTGAGTTCATTGTTAGTGAATAAAATGTCAAAATATTAAACTACTGAATTATTAAATGACCCAGTGAATACACAAACACACAGAGAGAGACTTATCCACACATATACACATACACACACACACACACACACACACACACACACACACACACATTCTTTCCCCGAATTAAGGGATTACAGGGTTGTAAAAAGGGAGTTACTGGATAACCGGTGTGATACATTGGGTCATCACTTCAGGGATATTTCCTAATGAGATTGTTCAATAATTTCAGCAGTGGCAGGGCTTCTAATGTGCTGCCTCCAGTGGAAACATTCTTAAAAATTTTGGGTAGGTATTCAGAAATGTATCTACCTCGAAATTAGCCCATAGTCAAACACCAGGAGTGGACCATAGGAAATGTTTTATGGCCTTCTGTATTATGTCACTAAATGTTTTGTGATAAATTTTATGTCCTTAAATGTTCTCTAACTTTGCCAAATTTCAATTTCATGAGAGTCATGGGTTCCAGATTTTGGATGCATTATATAAATTAGTCCATTTGAGGCAGTATGGTTCAAAAGTTGTTGGTCTGTGATCCATCGTTTTGCTGAGTTAAAGGTTACATACAGACAAACATGAGAGTTGTAGTAGTACATAGATCGGGTTTGGTGATCAGTCCCATGTGATAACTTTTCCCCACTATAAAATAACACAAACTATGTTATTCAGTTATCAAATCCTAAAGCTAACACAATTTTGTCCTGTGTAAAGCAATGCTTCTCTAGTTCTTCTAGAAATGATGTTACCTAATCAAGATATGAAAGGTCTGCAAGCCAACATCGAAGTTCAGAGATCACCGAAGACTCCATGGAATGTAAAATAGAAATCTAATGAATTAATTAAAAGGATGCTTTTTATAAGTAAACAAACAGGTTTTAGTCTAACGAGGCTCAGTTCTTCTTTTATTCATAACTCATAACTGATTAGAAGTCCCAGAACTTTTCTGCAGGCTTCCAACCAATAACAACACAGCTGAAATTGGATGGCAAGGGACAAGTTTCTATTGGGGTAAAAAGATGTGAACATCAGGTCTATTTTACTTTTTAATTTCTCTCCCTGCCCCAAGGTTTTTAAAAGAAAAAAATATCTGTCCTCACCCTCTTTAGAAATATCATATCTCTTTGTCTTCTGTGATACTTGGTGGCTGAAAAACAAAGACAAAAGAACAGAAGAAGAAAAAGTCTGCCTCTCCTTTTCATATATTTAGTCCCTGGATTGTAGTCTCTTTAATTTGTAGCTTTGGCTGGCAACCAGAAGCCCATAATCTGGATTGTCCTAGATTTATTCTATCAATTTGCATTGTGGAAAAGAAATATACTCCTATCGCTTTCCCTTTGAGGAACCTCTACACCACCCTCTTCCTATATCACAGTTTAAAAACTGAGACAACAGAATATTGGTAGCTTGAATCTGAGGCAAGAAACAGATAATCAATGGAGAAAAGTGGCTAGGGAGATGGACAGGAAACAGGTCCAAACAGATCCATGGGAGTTCAGTAGGCGATGTGGGGTGAGTCACTCGTATAGTTTATCTACCTCACTGGGTTGTGTTATACAAAACCCAATGATGCTGATGATGGGATCTACACTATTTGAGGGGCTTCCACAAAGAAGAGGGCGTCAAATTATTCTCCAAAGCACCAGAGGGCAGGACAAGAAACAAGAGTTGGAAACTGATCAAAGAGAGAAGCAACCTGTAATTAAGAGAAACTTCCTGACAGTGAAGTCAATTAACCAGTGGAACAGCTTGCCTCCAGAAATCGTGGGCACTCCATCACTGGAGATTTTTAAGAAGAGACTGGACAGTGACCTGTCTGAGATGGTATAGGTTCTCCTGCTTGAGCAGGGGGCTGGACTAGAAGACCTCCAAGGTCCTTTCCAGCTCTGTTCTATTCTAATTCTATTCTAATTGTATTCTACTATTTTGTGGAATTCTTGGTGCTGTCTTGAACTTGGTTGCTGGCTCACAGAAGGTTTATTATCCAACTAGGTAACATAATCAGTGCTAGTGAGTATGGGGTTTATTAGCTTGCCCCGTCAGTTCTGGTGGGGATGTCCTTTTCTCCTTGGTAGTTCCTTCATTAGGGTATAGTTTTCTGCTTGATTGCTTGTCTGGTGTTAATCCCTGTTTATCTGGATGTTGCCTGCTGGACAGGATGTGCTGTAGTCTTGTTTCCTTCTTGATTTTTTTATTGTCTCTTTTGGATGGTGTGTAAGTCCATCCTGGATCTGCTCTTATTCTCTTCTGTTGATCCCTTTTTCCATAGTGACAGTGGCTCAGGAACACCCAAGACCCCCGATGGAGGGCATTCCTCCCTTGATATGAAGTCAGAGGCTTCCTCGAACCCAAGCTCTCCAGAAATCTGTCCCAACAAAGAGAGGTAAAAGCAAGGTGCAATTTTAAACTCATTGGTTGATGGCATTCAAACGGAGTCATAATTTTCTGGGATTCAGGCTAGCGACATCCACTAAAAGCTGTGGACTCACCATTTCACATGTGGGGTGATCCATCACTGAAGTTTTCAAGAATCAACGGAACCTCAAAAATGATGCAAGCAAACAGTGGAGGTCACAGTTGTTATAGTACGAGGAGACTTTTCTGATTCTCGGGATACATCAAGTGCTTGTTTGGAGTCATCTACTGGCTTCAGGATTGGAGGAACAAAGGGACAAATTATAGGAACAAAGTCAATTTGTAGTTGATGTCTTTTCTGTAACTTCTCCTTTCTTTTCCAATCTGGGAATAATTTGGCCGTGGGATTGTTTTGCTGTTTTTCTTTGTGGAGTGAGAGGAAGATGGTGCTTTTTCTGTGTTTGTCTTTGTATGGCCTTGACATTCTTAGCCTTCTAGAAGGCCATGAAGACCTGGGTTTTCTTCCACAAATTGAGATTGTTGGGGGGGGGGTCTCCTAACATATGTCTGTTTGCTATCTTGGTAAACTTTGTTTTTAACAGGCCCTCAACATTTTTTTTTCAGTTGATTCTGAATATTTATTGGCTTTTCCTATTCTGTCATCCAGAGTTCCATTGATTAGATAGGTGACCATATGATTTTGTTTAGTAAACAACAATAACAAAAAAAAACCCATAAGAATGTACTAAAGATATGTGTCTGCTTTAACAAGCAGACCAGATAGGAAACATGACCAGATAAATTAATTCTATTTTACTGTAAAGCTACATTAACAGAATCTTACAAATCTGAAAGTACAAAACCCTAACCCTAATCCTGAAAAACTGGGAGGGAGAATCCCGTCTGAGCATTTTGCTCCACCCCACTCATCCGTGGGCTCTGCCCTCTCTTATCTGACCATTTCTTAGGCAGGCAGCATCTCTTTGCCCTGCCTCTCAATTCCCTATCTCACATTATGCAAGACATTTAAGAAATTTTGCAAGATTTGAAGGTTGAAACAATGACTGCACAATTCCATCCTTCTAAGGAACTCAAATTAAAGCAGCACTACTGGGCTCTGATTGAAAAGATGTAGTGGCCACCTTCTTTCCAGGAGCTAATGTATTTTATCAAAGCAGAAACCAAAATAGAAAATCTGGAAAAAAACTCAACAATCCCATTCCGGTTCCTTAGGTGCATCATGATCAGTTCCATGTGCATTATGAGTGTGATCACTGGCTAAAAACAAAAAAAAAATGTACAAACAAACTTTTGTCAACACAAACACATACAAATGGATGGATGGATAGCATGTTGCTGATGAAATGGTATACAGGTAATCTTGTTTAGGGACTGCCTTGTTTAGTGACCGCTTGCAGTTACAATGGTAATGGAACTAGGACCAATCCTCCCGTTGAACTCTTCTGTAAGTTTGTAAAGAACAGAAACACGGAAGTCAGATAGTCAGCACATGTGTGATTGCACTATAGACCTCTTTGCTTAACGGCTGAGTGGCTGGTCCAATTGTGGTCACTAAATGAGGACTACTTCTATACTTTAAAAAAGTAGGAGGTTTGAATCACAAAATTGGAGAACGGCAGAGGTGGAGCATTTCCTATGCCTCCTGATTATTAAATTTCTGTTTCTCTCTCACTTTCTGCCAGGCCTTTCATTAAACTCAAAGAGAATGGAAAGTCAAATATTTCCCGTTCGTCCTCAAGTACCAGCAGTTTCAGCAGCACTGCAGGAGAAAGTGAAAATATGGAAGAATACGAAAGCCTGGTAATGCCTGCTCTTGATTGATCTGAGGTGGCAAACGTTCCTCAACAAACAACTCTTTTAGCATATTATGTATTTAAAAAAAATAGTATCTTTCTCCTCAGCTGCCATCAGCACAGCTTCATAACTCTTGTTTTCTCTTATATTTGTCAGGCTCACCAGGTAGGACTGACTAGGACAGGGGTAGACAACCTTGGCTCTTTTATGACTCGTGGACTTCAACTCCCAGAATTCCTGAGCCCCCCAGCTCAGGAATTCTGGGAGTTGAAGTCCACGAGTCATAAAAGAGTCAAGGTTGCCTACTCCTGGACTAGGACAAGGGTCTCCAAACTTGGTAACTTTAAGACTTGTGGACTTCAACTCCCAGAATTCCTCAGCCAGCCAGGGAGTTGAAGTCCACAAGTCTTAAAAGTTGCCAAGTTTGGAGATCCTGACTGAAATATCAAACTCCACAGGAAGATTAGGGCTATTTCATTGAGAGTGGCTACAAAACACAATCTTGCAAACTTGAGGATGTTTACCTCCTCCCCTCCTTATACATATGCAAATTACACATCCTTTCTGCTTGTTTTAGACTTAAGTCATGTTTTTTTCTCATAGCTTTGATCACGGTTCTAGTCTATCTTTCCCAAGGTCATCTGCCTTTTATTTAATCAGAGCTCTTTCTAAACAATAGAAGTTTTATTCAAGAATCAAGTTGCATGAACAGGTATAAATTATTTTGGTTTAAATTACAGGTCAGTGTTCTCTCTTTAATGATGCTATTATATATACTTTATTAAAAGGGCTGTTCTTTCATTTTACTATGCTTATATACCCCTGAATCTTAAAAGGTCACAGCAATTTACAATGCAGTGAGCTACGAAATGGCAACGTTAACATTTCCTTCCTTCCTTTCTTCCTTCCTTCCTTACGATTGGTTTTAACATCAAGGGAAGGAAGTTGGGATTACTGTAGAGACAAATATTATTTTCACTGGTTTGGGTTTATTTTTTGAAAAATGGATTCTGCATACTGCTATGGACTCCTTTAGGAGAAAGGGTGGTATACAAAACTGAATAATACCAACAGTTTCTTTCATTCACAGGGCAGCCAGTCCTCAACTGCATCGCCATATAAGCAAGATGTATTTGTTTACAGTCCTTCCCAAAGCATCGAGAATCCAAATTTAGCATCAGCTTCAACCCCTGTTATCATGAGCAGAAGCCCCACTGGTAAGTTTGATTATACCCTACCTTGATGGGCTTTGTATGACATTGCTGATGAAGATGACCCTCAAGTAGGGTGGCTTAACATAATCTTTTGGAATAGGAACTTTCTAATCTAGTCTACTATGCTGAGATTGTTATGATTCCGACTAATGAAACACTTCAAGGAACTTCCAGGCATTTATTTTCCTAAAAGTCAGTGATTGTTACAAAAATGTCTGGCACATGCATAACGGAGGGATGCTAGGATCTAAGTGCTCTTCCTCTGAGCAGTTAAATTAGCAGCATGTTCCCTCCCTAAATTAGCGGTCATATCTCACATTATCCAATTGGTGTGAAGGTCAAAGGTTTTCTTCCTCTTTCTTTCCCAGGCTTTACTCCCAATCCCCCTTCTGCTCTGTATTAACCCCATAATTACCAGACAATTCTGCATATTGTCAAAAGCAAGAATATACAATATTTGCAGCGTTGACAGAGATTTTCCAGGTGGTCACCCATCTAAATATTAACCAAGCCCAGGCCTGCTTAGCTTTCAAGATGGAGATAGTTATGCTTCAAATGCAAGCAGTGCCTGATGTATATATTGCTCTTCGCATCAGAATATAGGGCCTTCCAAGTGCCTTTTGCAGCCTGAGTGCTTGCCCCACCCATATATCAAAGCCATCCAGATAATTGAATCTTACTCCCAGATTAACAAAAGACCAGATTCCCTCTGTTACAGAGTTGAGGGATAGACAGACTGGCAAACACCATAAATATTCCTCAGGTTATGTAGTGTCTCTGTTTTGCCAAGTGTCAGGCTGGTGATCAGGTGCCCAGGCAGTTGGTTCTTTAGGATCCAGATAAGCACACCAGTAAATAAAGGGATTTTAAGCTTTATTATTAGCTCAAACAAACAGATTTAAAAGCATAACATAAAAAGCATCCATACCAAGCACTTAGACTTATATACTGCTCCATAATCCTTTCCAGCCCTCTCTAGGCGGTTTACAGAATCAGTATATTGCCCCCAATAATCTGGGTCCTCATTTTACCAACATCAGAAGGAGGGAAGGCGGAGTCAATCTTAAGCTGGTCAGAATCGAACTGCTGGCAGTGAGCAGTCAATTAGCCTGCAATGCTGCATTCAAACCACTGCGCCACCATGGCTCAGATAATACTCAAATCACTTATAAGTGGCCAGGATTGCTTTAATAACAATAGTAGAGATACTCCAAGGGTGGCTAGTTTCACAATACCCTGGGCTAGGTGTTGTGCAAAAGTTTCACACAAACAACAATCCCAAGGTTTTTATCAAAACCAGGCACCATGACCTCCTGGCCTTATTATGGTTAGGAGATTGCAAGACCTGACCTTGGCTGGCTGGCTGGCTGGCCCATGATTCTGGGATGGGAATCGAAAGTCTGACACTTTCACAGTAAGAAAAACTTGGCAACTACAGTCCTCGACTTACAGCAGCAGTGAAAAAAAGTGACTTAGGACCATTTTTCACACTTGGCGACCATTGCAGCATCCCCCTAGGTCACGTGATTGAAATTCTGGATGCTTGGCAACTGACTCATGTTTATGACAGCTGCAGTGTCCCGGGCTCATGTGATCATCTGTTGTGACCTTCTGACCAAAGTCAATGGGAAATCCAGATTCACTTAACAACCGTGTTACTAACTTAACAAATACAATGATTCACTTAACAACTATGGAAAAAAAGCCGTAAAATGGGGCAAAACTCACTTAACAAAACTCACTTAACAAATGTTTCAATTAGCAACATACATTTTGGGCTCAATTGTGATCGTAACTCAAGGACTACCTGTTCATGAAGTTTCCTCCCCCTTCCCCTTTACTCCGTAAGCAAGAGTTAAAAAAAAAAAAAAGCAGGTTAGCTCAAAATATGCTCTAAACTTCTAGAGTTTTCTTAATACGAAGGAGAAATCCAAATAGGTCACCAACCTCCTCAAAATAACTATGGTCTTCCTCGTTGCCCTTGCACTCTCTTGCATTACAGCATAGCAAATATGTCTTGAATAAATTAATCAACCAACCAGTTTGCTACCACTACCTATCTCTTCCCTGTTGGCTGATACCTGAGATGTTTGTTTGTGTGTGCGTGTGTGTGCATGTGTTGTGAGGATATCCCAAGAGAGTACATGGCATTGCATGTGTGTAAACATTGGTATCATGATGAACATGTGAATTCATAATCAGAATAACAGAAAAACAGAGTTGGAAGGGACCCTGGAGGTCATCTAGTTCAACCCTCTTGCTCGGGCAGGAAATCCTATGCCAGTGATTGAGAACCTTTTAGAGACCGAGTGCCCAAACTGCAACCCAAAATTCACTTATGTATCATTGGGTGCCGGATGGGCGTGACCCATTGGGTGGGTGTGACTCTTTGGGTGGGCGTGGCCTATTGGGTGGGCATGGCCCATTGGATGGGTGTGGCTCATTGGGTGGGCATGGTTGTGGTGGGAATGGCAGGCTGGGTGGGACTAAAAAATTCAATCAATCAATTCCAACTTTTTTTTCTGCGAGAAGTTGAAATTGATTGATTGATTGAACCTTTTTTAATTTTTTTCACACAGTGGCGGAGGCCTAAAGCAAAAAGGTTTTATAAAACCCACCTGAAAGCCTAGGACTGGGCGACGGCACGCGTGCCCACAGAGAGGTCTCTGTGTGCCACCTGTGGCACACGTGCCATAGGTTTGCCACCACGGTCCTATGCCATTTCAGACATTTCATTGCTGGAGCTTTCATCTTTTTAAAAAATTAATATTGGTTCTGAATTTTCCAAATAAAAATAAGCTGACTTTTTTTTTTTGTACCGTTCCAGCAGATATAAAAAGCAGAAATTCTCCAAGATCAAATCTAAAATTTCGCTTTGATAAACTTAGCCATTCAAGCTCTGGTCCGGTAAGTAATGATGAATGCAACTGTCTTCCTTTAAATTGGAATGTCAGACTTTCAAACCCTCAAAACATGAATACATGTTTCTTGGTTTTTCGGCTGCCACAGCAATGGAAGGGGAGAGACTGCATTCTTATAGTTTAGTCAAAAGAGTAACTTTCTTGTGGGAACCAAGATCAAGCAGCTTAAATGTTTGGCGGGCTGGAACTACCGTTAGGAAGCCCGCCAAAGGAGTTAATTGAGGATTGTGATTTATGACACACTAAAGAGGTGGGGAGTTCAACTTTTACTTTGTAACCTTTTGGGGAGTAACTTTCACTCTTGGTTTCACCTTTGTTTGTGCTGATATTATGTCGCCATTAAAAGTGTTCTCTGAGGAAAGCAATTGCCTCAGAGTTCTTATTTCTTCTGGTCTCATTTATCGGAACCATGACACAGAACTTGGTCTGTTATATTTGCACACAAAGAGAGAGAGAGATCAGCATGGCCTTTGGGCTGGCAGTTGCCCATTAGCAGAACCTCCCATTTCCTGACCTTTCTGACATCTTGACTTTTGAAGGATTAACATCTGACCCTAATGGCTGGCTGAGGAATTCTGGGAGTTGAAGTCCAAGTCATAAAGTAGACACGGTTGGGGACCCCTACTCAATGTGTACAGGTAATCCCCGACTTATGACCACAATTCAGCCCAAAATTATGTGGTTGAGACACTTATTAACTGAGTTTTGCCCCATTTTATGACCTTTCTTGCCACAGTTGTTAAGTGAATCATTGCAGTTGTTAAGTAAGCAACATGGTTGTTAAGTGAATCTGGCTTCCCCATTGACTTTGCTTGTCAGACGGTCACAAAAGGGGATCACTGCAACTGTCATAAATGTGAATGGGTGTGCCAACTGTCGGAATTTTGATCACATGATCATGGAGATACTGCAATGGTCGTTAAATGTGAAAAATGGTCCTAAGTCACTTTTTTCAGTGATCTTGTATCTTTGAAGGATCACTAAATGAACTGTTATAAGTCGAGGACTACCTGTATTGGTGACGTGTGGTTATATTTAATGAGATAAGAGTTCTTCTTTTGTTAACAAAGTTTTGCCTTTCCTAAGATTGATACAGTAGCTGCTTGGTGCCTCGAAAATATGCATTTAAGATAAGGAAGTGATGATTTAATGTCTTCTTAACTCGAACATGTTTTTTTGGGGACCACGTGGTTACTATCCAAACCTAGAAAAAGACATGGCTTCTTTATGAGCCATGGTGGCCTAGTGGTTGGAATGCAGTACTGCAGGCTACTTCTGCTGACTGCCAGCTGCCTGTAGTTTGGCAGTTCGATTCTCACAGGTTCATGGTTGTCTCAGTCTTCCATCCTTCCGAGGTCGGTAAAATGAGGACCCAGATTGTTGGGGGGGGGCAATGTGCTGACTCTGTAAACCGCTTAGAGAGGGCTGTAAAGCTCCGTGAAGTGGTATATAAGTCTAAGTGTATTCCTATTAAGGAGACCTGAACAGATGCAGTCAAGACTCACCTGTTTCCCCCCCCCCCCCCCAGCATCTTTTCCACTTTGGATCTCATGAACTATCTCAAGTGAGATAATAAAACAGCTCATCACTGGAGCCCTGTTTCCTTTTTTTTTTTTTTTTTTAAGCATAGAGAAAAGTAAGAATCCATTACGAGGTGGCGCAGCAGTTAGAGTGCAGTACTGCAGGCCACTTTAGCTGACTGTGTTCAGCAGGTCAGCGGTTCAAATCTCACCGGCTCAAGGTTGACTCAGCCTTCCATCCTTCCGGGGTAGGTAAAATGAGGATCCAGATTGTTGGGGGCAATATAAATATATTGCTTACCGGTGTACACTGCTTAGAGAGCGCTTGCACTTAAAGTGGTATATAAGTCTCATAAATAAATAAATAAACAAACAAATAAATAAATAAATAAGAAGCTGATGGAAAGAAAAAGAGTAATGGGAAAAAAATTCTGGCAGGTTTTGAACTACATTTATAGAGCAAGATCTATAGCCACTGTGCTATTCCAGCCTTGGTGGTGAATTGATCTAAAAGAAGTTTAGAAAAAAACTTAAAGAAAACAAGGCTCTAATAAGGGATTTGTAGTGATTGTTGTGCCTGTGTGTATGTCAGAAAAGGCAGGGGATAATAGGAATTGGAGTCTGGCTGATGTAGAGGGTCAGAGGAGATTGTAAAAATGCTTATATATTTAACAGACCATGCTTCCTTCATTTGCAGACACATTAGCTGAAGAATGACCCCCTAAGGACCTGTAAAAGGTAACTTATATTTAGCCCAGGGTTTATAATAATTTTTAATGCCAAATATTGACAATAATGATAGGCAGGATATTTTTCAGTCGGGAACAAACTTTTTTTAATTATGATTATTGTGGCTTTGCGATGGTGGCGAATATCTCTAGCTTGGATGTAGGATGAGGATGGAGGTTTGTTCTCCATGCTGGTGGGTTAGTTTCCATGGGACTAATATCACATCAATTAAAAACCAGAATACATGAACATCAGTAGGCAGTCAAACGCCACAATCCCAAATCTTCAATCTCTACCCACACTGACACTGAACAGCACTAGTTCAATTGGAGCAACACAAAAATCATCAGACACACTACCACCTGCCACCTGCGTGTGTTCACCGAAGCCTGGCACTCCACAAGCAATTCCATCAACCTACACACCGACCTAAAACCAGCCTACAAAACCTTCAGAATTCAAATCAACCGCACAACCAACCAATGACACGATCCTCAACCAAACCACACAGCCTCCCCCCAATCAGCACTTCACCTCCCAGTGACCCTCCCCTGACATGACCTCCCCATCACAAGACTCATTACAAGACCCATACTTGACACACCCACCCCTGACCCATCACAAAACACAGACATCCCTTAAATTCCCCTGAAGATGTTACCTAGCCTGGTAACGAAACGTTCGGAAACCAACCTACAAGCTCAGAGAATGAATGTCCACCCTCATTTATTGTGGGTCTTTGAGAGATGCAAATGGTGCAATGATCAGTTGTGTTCATGGGGTAGGAGAGTCAAAAAAAGGCAAGGCAGTGGTTTTCACTGCAAACAAAGCTCACCCATACAAGAGGAGAAGGGCTTTAATCACAAAATTGTGACTAATCTCATGACTTTTTTGGTCACTTCTCTATGAACACAATTTTGCAATGAACTCACTGAAGGGGCAGGATTTGAATGCTTGACCCATTTTTCCCCCCCAAACATGTTTGGCTGAGTTGATTTATTTATTTTATTTTTTTAAAAAAACACCAAACTGTATATTAAATGCTGGTCTTGCACAACAGTTTCATAGTTTGATTCAGTAGCAAACTGGCAAATTTCAGTGCAGTGACCTTTTTTTTTTTTTAAGTTGCTATTTTGCTGCCAAAAATTTCAGCAGCTGATCCTGAAGGTTATGGTCATTGGGGTTACAGATCCTTTGGGGGGGGGGATTTTAAACTTCAAAATCCGTTGTAACTTCAAATGGTCGCTAAGTGAACAGTTGTAACTTGAAGACTATCTGCATTTATCTAACCAGGGTTTCAAAGCCCTCCAAAATAAAAATCCTCCATGTATGTTCCATTAATGAGTTCCATTAATGGAGCCTATCTGAAAAGCCAATTAGCTAAAGGCTCTCAAAGCCTCTCTTTTTAAAGGTGTTTTTAAGAATTAAAGGAGGCTATTCTTGATGTGGGTATGGATGACCTCCAAGCCTAATTTTTTTTGCCTTCTCCCATCTTTTGCAGGACATTTTTGTTGTGTTTGTTTCATTTTAAACAGGGTGGTGAGGAGGATGTTTGCTTTGAATGACAGCATCCTTCCTTCACACCAAGCTCCATAGCCACCTATGGATTGTCCTCCATCCGAGCCGATCATTCCATAAAACCGCAAAAGAAGGGATCTTTTCCTGTTCCTGTTCCTGTTCCAATCATCCATGCTTTATCCCTCTGGAGTAGAAGGATGTCCCGCGGAGGAACCAAATTTTGTACCACGTAGACCTGAACTGGCTTCTGTCTTTTTTCATTTGGTAGATCAACGGATTGGTAACGTTTTGCATAGCTGTTTAACTTGAGATCATTAGTGCTGCTTTTGGGGGTAAATCTTTTGATGTCAGAAATAATAATAATCATCATCATCATCATCATCATCGATAGGTAGACAAAATGCCAAATCCAGTCTGAACATCTGGCTGACTGTGCGATGATGATGATGATCATCATCATCAATAATAATAATAATAATATCAACATCTGTCTATCTCAGGTCCCTGGGAAGGACTCATATGTGGATAAAAATGCCAGATTCCAGCCTGAACATCTGGCTGATGTGTGACAAACCATAATAATAACCCCTCCATGGATACCCCCTTATCATAATCATCATCATCATAATACTTTACTGTTTTGTGGACTAATTTCTTACCTAATTAAAACCCCTGGATTTAAGTGACCTTTTCTTTTTCTTATGCTATTACTGACATAAGACTTTCCACACGAAGTTGGTGCTGAGTCAAGGATGCTCTTCTGCCTTTTGAGCATTCTGCTGCCATGTAACGGAAAAGAAATGACATTGGGTTTTTTGCTTTTAAAGAAAGTGTCGATGGATATCAGAAGGGTGGGGTGGAAGGGATGTGCCCATACCTTACTTTCAGGTAGCCATAACAGTGCGTGTGAACATTTGGTCTTTCTCTGTCTAGTTCTCACTGGCCTGCAGTCTCCCTGAAAGCTAGTTAAATCCAGAGTGAAAAGGAAGGAGATTTCTGTGCTTGATGGTTTTCTTGCGCACATTTCATTACCCAGCTAGGTAACCTCATCAGTGCTCGGAAGAAGTGGGATTTGCTCTTATTTTTATATAGATGTGTCCTACCCTGTCAGTGTAGGGCCAGGACAAACCAGCACTATACTAAAATAAGAGCAAACCCCACTCCCTCCTAGTTTCTCCTAAGTGTTTTGGTGTAATGAAAGAAAAGGTTTGGGAAACACTGTGTTAGAGGAAAGAGTTGGGGAAAAAAAAAAACCAGGCACAAAGAAGGAATGAAGGCTTTGCTACTGCGATTTGGACTTCAGAAACTTCTGATGCTATCCTTACCCTGAGGCCCTTTTGCACATCTGTGCAACATCATGACACACCTATAATAGGGCTTTCATGCTGCCAGCAAAACTCTGCTTGCTTCTTCTTCCTCCCTGATGGTCCCACTGCTAGAAATTTTTTCCTGTTGGCTTCTTACATAGGAGACCATCGTTGCAGCTTTATAAGCTGAACCTGGAAAAATTTGTCTCCCTCTGGTCGTGAATCAAAATGTGCCTTCACTCCTGGAAGCTTGCTGGTGCAATTGTTCTTAAAGGTTTTTTTGGGGGGGGGGTCATTTTATGTTGCACATTGGATTCAGGTCAGGTCCCACTTGGACAGTTTGGAAAAATAGCTTGATTTGGCTTGGCATCCTTTCAGAGGTCTTGTGCCTCCAAATCCGAAGGCCAAACCAATCATAATAGCAACTGGAACACTACTTGAACATCTTCGGCATTGACAAAACCACCATCGGTCAATTGCAAATGGCAGCATTACTGGGAACAGCTTACATCCTACAATGATACCTTTAATACAATCAAATATCCACATCTACCTATCCCAGGTCCTTGGAAAGTGGATAAAAAAATGCCAAATCCAGTCTGAACATCTGGCTGACTGGGCAGAGAACGATACTAATAATAACTGGAGCCACCACTTGAAAACCTTCGGCATTGACAAAATCACCATCGGTCAATTGCAAAAGGTACCTTTACTTGGCATAATTTACTTCCTGTGGTGATATCTCTTAACAATATTTGCCTGTCATTTGTCCTTGAGAAGGACCCAATAGGTGGATAAAAATGCCAAATACTGTACAGTCTAAACATCTGGCTGGCAGTGTGACAAGTCACATTGTGGGATTTCTGAATATAATCTGATAAACTCTTGGCCCATAACGTGCCAGATTTAACAGTGGTTGAAAAGAAGAAAGTGTAGTTAATTGACGTGGCAATAATGGAATAGTAGAAGACAAACAATTGGAGAAGATCACAAAGTAGCAAGAGCTAAAAAATATCCAAGTTGAAAGATTATGGCATAAACCGGTCGTAGTAGTTCCCGTGCTTCTTAAAAGTTTTATAAATTTTACAAGAAAAACAAGAACAATACAAAACAAAAAACAACATATACAAAAGAAAAAAAAAATTAAACAATACATATATATAAAAAAAAAAAAACCCCACCCCACACCCCCCCCAAAAACCCTCCCTTCCCCCCCCCTGAGCTTCCCAGAGCAGAATATAGGCTTAAGAAATAAAAAAAATAAAAATAAAAATTAAATTAAAAACTTTATATTTATATATATAAAAAAGATATCTATAATATATATAAAAATAAAACTTATGAAAAAGCTATATGATATTTTTGTATACCCAATCTAAATTGTATAAATTTTATCCATTTGTCCCAGATAGCAAAAAACTTCTCTTGAGTTTGTTGCTTTAAGAAAGCCGAAATCTTTGCCATTTCCGCCAGATAAGCTACTTTAAAAAACCATTCCTGCAATGTAGGCAAAGATTCCTTCTTCCAATATTGTCCAACTAACAGCCTCGCGGCTGTGATCAAATTTAACATCAATACAACCTCCTTTGTATCACAATCTGTAACAATACCTAACAAAAATAATTGCGGAGTAAAATTTACCCTCCTTCTAAAAATTCTCTGGATATTCCACCATATTTTGATCCAAAATGCTTTTATCTCTCTGCATGACCACCAAATATGATAATAGGAAGCCTCCTTATAACCACATCTCCAGCATGTAGGTTGCACGTCAGGGTACATGTAAGACATTTTTTGTGGATCAAGGTGCCATCTATAAAACATTTTATAAAAATTCTCCCTTAAATTCTGTGCTTGAGTGAATTTGACATTTCTCACCCAAATAGTTTCCCAGGTGTCCAATGAAACTGGCTCACCAAAATTCTGCGCCCATCTAATCATACAATCTTTAATTAGTTCCGTTTCTGAGTCAAATTCAACTAAAACCCCATAAATTCTCTTAATGTGGGTTTGTCTTTGATCCTTCAGTTGCTTAATAAGATTTTCATCTTCTCTAAGAAAACCCACCTTACAATCCATCTTCCATCTATCTAGTAGTGGCCTATATTGGAACCAAGAATAAGTAAAATTTTCTTGTGCTAATTCTTCCCGTGATTTTAATTGCCAGTTTTGTCCATCCCATTTAAGTAACTGTCTATAAGACACCATATCCATTTTAACCCCTCTTTTGTTCCCGTGCTTCTTGGCACATTGGTTGCCATACCAAAAAATCTTAAACAGCACTTAAAAAATTTGTGCATTGCCCAATTTCCATCTGTCAATTACAAAAGCCACACTGTTTTGATCCACGCATATCCTACACCAATATATTATGATACCCTAGATTCTTGGTAAGCACCTAATGCATATAAAGACCAACATCAGTTAAAGAACTGGTAGCCTCAATTTCACATTTTTGTGTATATAATAATAACTGACACAAATCACCATCAATCAGTTACAAAAGGCAGCTTTACTTGGAACAGCTTACATCCTGCACTGATAGCTTTAACATCATCAAGCAACAATGTCTGCCTATTCCAGGTCCTTGGAAAGGTTTGATAATAATAATCCACGCAGTGACATTGACAGACTTTATCTACCAAGGCAAATAGGTGGGCGTGGAATGCTACAAGTACATCAGATGATTGAAGAAGAAAAAATGGCTGTGGAAGAATATCTGAAGAACAATGATGAAGATGCACTGAAATTAGTATATCAGGAAGGCTTACTGACTACTGGAGAGACCAAACTGGCCTCCAAGAAAGACCAAATGAAGAACAGAATAGAGGCATGGGAAGACAAAGTACTACATGGCCAATACATTAAAAAAATAGCTGGGAAAGCAGATATTAACAAGACCTGGCAATGGCTAAGAGCAGGAAAATTGAAGAAAGAGACCAAGGGACTAATTCTGGCTGCACAAGACCAAGCCTTAAGGACAAATGCATATAAAGTCAAAATTGAGAAGACAGCAACAGACAGTAAGTGCCGCCTATGCAAAGAAGCTGAAGAAACAGTGGACCACCTGGTAAGCTGTTGCAAGAAGATTGCACAGACTGACTACAAGCAGCGGCATGACAAAGTAGCAACAATGGTGCATTGGAAGATCTGCAAAAAATATCATTTGCCTGTAAGCAAAAACTGGTGGGATCATAAAATAGAGAAAGTCATAGAAAATGATAAAATTAAACTGCTCTGGGACTTCAGAATTCAAACAGACAAGCACCTGCAACATAACACCCCAGACTTAACAATTGTCGATAAGAAAGACAAAAAAGTCTGGATAGTGGACGTGGCAGTGCCTGGAGACAGCAGAATATAAGAGAAAGAACTGGAGAAGATAACAAAATACAAAGACCTACAAATAGAAATAGAAAGACTGTGGCAAAAGCAAGCAAGGGTAGTACCAATAGTCATAGGCTCCTTAGGTGCAATCCCCAAAAACTGGAGCACTACTTGAACACCATTGGCATTGACAAATTCGCTATTAGTCAATTGCAAAAGGCGGCCTTACTAGGAACTGCTTCCATCCTGCGACGATATCTGTAATACCATCAAACATCCACATCTGCCTATCCCAGGTCCTGGGTAAGGACTCGATAGGTAGACAAAATGCCAAATCCAGTCTGAACATCTGGCTGACTGTGCGATGATCAATAATAATAATAATAATAATAATAATAATAATAATAATAATAATAATAATAATAGTAGTAGTAGTAGTAGTAAAGTTGGAAGAGATCTTGGAGGTCATCTAGTCCAACCCCCTGGCAAATGGCTGTCCAGTCTCTTCTTAAAAACCTCCAGTGTTGGAGCATTCACCACTTCTGGAGGCAGGTTGTTCCACTGGTTAATTGTTCTAACAGTCAGGAAGTTTCTCCTTAGTTCTAGGTTGCTTCTCTCTTTGATTAGTTTCCATCCGTTGCTTCTTGTCCTGCCTTCAGGCGTCTTGGAGAATAGCTTGACTCCCTCTTCTTTGTGGCAGCCCCTGAGATATTGAAAGACTGCTATCATGTCCCCCCTCGTCCTTTTCTTCATTAAACTAGACACACCCAATTCCAGCAACCGTTCCTTGTATGCTTTAGCCTCCAGTCCCCTAATCATCTTTGTTGATCTTCTCTGTACTCTTTCTAGAATCTCAACATCTTTTTTACATAATTTGACAAGAATCCTGATCTGGCTGACTATGTGATCAACCATATTAATAAATTGCAAAAAGCAGCTTTATTTGGAATAGCTTACCTTCCGAGCCAGGCCTTTATTTATTTACCTTTAATTCCTTCCTCATCTTTTAGTACAAAACTGCACTTTCTTAGCTGGATGTCATCCACAGAATCATTAAAAAAGGGGGGGGGGGAATGAAAAGCGTGTTCTTCTTCAAGAGAACACCGCTAATAAAAATGATCAGGACAAACAGACCCTCAAATCTATCAAACAGATGGCCATGTTTTTCACTCAAAAAGAGGGAGATGCCACTTGCTGGAATAGCTTTCATATGATTAAACAACAACATCTGCCTATCCCAGGTCCTTGGGAAGGACTGGATACAGTAGAGGAACAAAAAATTCCAAATCTCGTCACAGCAACTGGCTGACTGTGTGACCAAACATAAAAATAATATTTATTTATTGAAAGTCTGATAACCACAAGGCACAAAACAAGATCTTTAATCAATAAAGAAGGCTGCTCAACTTCAGGAATTATCTGTGAGAGTGAGTCAAGCAAATGTTTTGCAGTCAAGTGCTGCAGTTTTTTTTGGGGGGGGGGGGATATCCTTTTTTATTTCTCCTTGGCTGCCGCCGAAAAAGAAGGGAATGGGTCTGAAATGTTCAGCTCCATTTTGGTGAAATTTTGCGGTGGGTTGTTTTTGGAAAGAAGGGCATGAAATAAAAAAAGGGTTCTAA